CGCCGCGGGGGCGGGGCCGGCGCGCGGAGGGGCCGGCGCGCGGAGGGGCGGGGCCTCGCCGCGGGGGCGGGGCCGCGGGGCGGGGCGGCGGCGGCAGCAGGAGACGAGGGAGGGCGGGTCCGCGGCAGCTGCCTTCGGTCAGCCGGTGTCCGGCGCGGAGCCCCGAGGACGGCCTCGTGGAGGTGACATGTTAAGTTTTCGGGACAGTTCCTGGTATCAGAGCGGAAACAGTGGCCGCGTCAGAGACAGGCAGAGACAGAGACAGCGGGAGAGAGAAAGCGCGGGCGCGGCGGCGCGGGCGGTGGCCCCCGTGCCCCCTTTCCTCTCCTCCCCGGGCGGCCGGCGGGGGCAGCGGCTACGGGGCTAAGGCTGCTCGCGGCGGGCGGCGGGCGGCGCCGTCCGGGCCGGGTCCGGGGCCGGCGGGCACGCGGCGTCCCCTCCAGGGCCCGGGCCGGCGGCCGCGGCGTCACCGAGGGGGCCGTGGGCACTCCGCTTGGCGGCCGTGCTGGGGGCCGGGGCCGCCTGCCCGTTCTTCTCGTCTGAAAAAAGTTGTTTAATTACGTCAAAGAAGCTACTCAATGGGCTGCCTGGGTGCACAGAACAGAAGGAGAGAAACAGAAGAGGGGGGAGGGGAGAGAGAACACACGCGTGAACCCGCGGTCGCCGCCGGGGCCGGGCCCACGAGCGAGGCGCGGCCGGCCGGCCGGGCGGGCGGGCGGCGGGCGGGGCGGGCGCGCGGAAGGACCCCCCTCCTCCCTCCCCGGGCCGGGCCCCTCCCCTCCCCCACCCCGGGCAGGCCGGGCCGGCCCGTCCCTCGGCGGACCCCGCGGCGGAGGAACCACCGCGCCCACACGCCGCAGGGCTGAGCAGGACCCTGGGCCCCCAGGCCGGCTCCGTGCGTGCGGCCGGGGAGCCATCCCTGGGCTGGGGAGACGGCAGCCAGCGCGCCCGCCACTCTCCTCCCCGGAGGCTTGGAGCCCGGCCCCGGGCCAGCCCGGGCAGCACCGCACGGACACAGAGGTCAGCAGCAGACAGACAGATGGACGGATGGGTGGACAGGCGTGGAGGGTTTGGGTATGGGAGGGCCGGGGGCAGGCAGCCAGAGTGGGAGCCCTGATCCCAGAGGGACTGTCCTAAGCGCAAGAGGAAGAGGGCAGACACGGTCTGACCTCCCCCACCTGGGTGGGCCTGTTCGCGCTGTCCTGCGGCCTCTGCTCTGCTTGTCAGACTCCCGCGGGCGGCCCCAGCGGCGGTGCCCTCGCGCCGCACGCCGTCACCCCCCTGCAGCGCACGGAGAGCTTTACACCAGCCTCCTGCTCAAGAGCTGCAGTCCACCCGGACCCCAGGCCAGAGCCCACACGCAGGACCCTTGCCAGCTCTGGGGCATGAGGACCCTTTACTGCTCCGAGCCTTGGGGTCCCTTCCTGGCCTGCCTGGATCCTAGGGCGGGGCCTGTGGCTGCCCTAGGGCGGTGGGTGACGGAGGCTGCTCCTGGCAGACGTGGGGTACTGGGTGGGCACGAGTGTGCACGTCTGGACCCCGCGTATACACAGGAACCCCAGGATGGCCCTAAGGGTGGCGGGGGCAGCACCCTGCCAGGAGCAGGCTGCAGGGGTGACAGGCTGGGGGGTCCCAGGTGAGCGTGGGGGGGTTCTTACCACATTTGGAAAGCCTCCCCGTCATCATTTCCATACAGTTAGTGGTGTCTGGAGCACAGAATGGAGAAAGGAGGGAGGGAGACGTGTGAAAAAGTCTTCCCGCTTGGACTCCTGGCCAGGCGCTGCCCTCAGCCTCTGGCCAGGCCCCCAGGGAGGGGCGGGGCCTGGCGTGGGGCGGGGCCATAGCCCAGTAGGGGGTTTGCTGGGGCCGACCCACCAGAGGGAGGGGCAACACCAGGAGGGGTAGAGCCCAGAGCAGGGCGGGGGCGGGGGGGGGGGGGGGGCAAAAAGAGGGGGGCCGGGGGGGGGGGTGCGACTGGGGGTGGAGCCTGGGGTGCGGCCCGCCCAGAATGTGGGCAGAGCGGGGGCCTTCTCCGGGCAGAGGAAAGTCCTCCTGCCACCAGAGCCAGAACACAGGCCTTGCCCTGCCCCTCGGGTGCCCTGGGCCTGCCTGGTCCTCCATTCCCTCTGTCCTCCCCTGGGCCCCAGACATAGGTTCTGGTGCCAAGAAGCCCAGGCTCTGGCTGTGGTCTACTCTGGCCATCTGTGTGTCCTCCCTCTGCCACCGTGCGGCTCAGGCAGCTGCGCGGCTCCCACCTGCCCTCAGCTCCTGTCGGCTCGCCCTTCTTTGACCCTCTCCCACCTTCTGCTGGGTCTGGGAGTGTTTGTGCTGGAGGGGGACTAGGCTGGGGGCTCCTCCCTCAAGGCTCTCACAGGGGCCCCCGCTGAGTAGGAGGTGACCTCTCCGCCTCCTGTCCCTGCTGGAGCAGCCACCAGGTGTTTTGCCCTGGTGGCTGAGCGGCCCCCACTTCTGCCCCTGCTCACAGTGGCTCTAGGACTGAGCTCGCCAGACGAGAGCACCCAGAGGGGGGGGGTGGGGGTGGGGAGGAGGGTGCTGGGAATGGCCAGAGTCCAAGGAGACCCTCAGGAGGCCTGGGGAGGGGGCCAGGGCATGGGCTGGAGTCCCGGATTAGGCTTCCCAGGTCTAAGGCCCCTGAAGGAGGGCAGGGGAGACGGGCTTGGGGCCCAGATTGGGTACCCAGGAGTTTGCAGGGACAGGGCTAACAGAGGCCCCTGCTTTGGCATGGGGTTAGGACTTCACTTAGGACTTCACCATTAGCTCCTTCACTGCTGCGCCTGGGACTTGGCACGAGGGACGCCTGCTAACGGGCAGAATGACCCCTCCTAGGTTACTGTCCATGGCCCAGCCAGGGGCAGAGAGACTGTGGTCCCCAGACAGTGGCTGCAGGCCCAGGCATCCACTGGGCAGCGCCACAGGCCCTGGCCTTTGCTCACCTCACCGGACAATCTGCTCTGAGATGGGGGCCTTCAAAGCTAAGGGAGCCACCCCTGCCCCACGGCCTACCTCCAATGCCAACCTGGCTCCCGGGGCCAGGCTGCTGGGCCACCCCTGCCCTGACCTGCCCATGGGGTGACGAGGCACATGTTGGGAGAGAAAAGGGTAACACACACAATGAAATGAGGATGGCGGGGGTGAGGGGACAGGTGGGGCCAGGCTGGAGGAGGGGCCCACTAAGGCTCCAGCCAGGTGCCGGGGATGCTCAGAGAGACAAGGCTCGGGCTGGATGGGGTGACCCTGACACGGGCCCCAGACCCTGACCCTGACACAGGCCTCCTGGCAAGCCGTGCCGTCCCAGCATTCTGACAGCAACCACAGCCTTGCTAACCGATAGACACGTGCACATGCCCGCCCTGCCCAGGCACGGGCTCACCCACCCCCACCCACAGTGGGCACGTAGCCCACTCCCCACCAGATGCTGAGCGGTGTGGGCTTTCTCAGGCCCTCGGACCCCCAGCACGTCCAGGCCTGGGCCGACCCTTTCCCTGTGTGACCCCCTGTGGGCCCAGCTGGGGAGCCCCTCCTTTGGGAACTCATGGCCAGACAATCACAGGCCTGTCGCTGGGAAGGCGGGCAGCAGGCGGCCCCACCGTGTGTCAGCCAGCGTGGGCGCTGGGCCCACAGCCTCGCAGGGTACCACCGGGGGAGCCCCGAGGGTGGCGGGCTCCCAGGCAGGACCTTGGCCACTGCTCTCCTGGAGCCTACCCTCACTGGCCTGGGGCCAGGCTGCTTGTGTCTGGCCGCTCAGCCTAGGTGCTGGGCCCTACGCGGCCTGTCCAGGCCCGGGAGTGGCCGCTGGATGTGTGAGCGGGCACGGGGTGCCCTTCTGGGGGCCAGTCTGGCTCTCGCCAGAGGACCTGCCCACAGCCCCCTCCCTGCCCCTATGGCGAGGCCAGACACCTTACCTGCCAGCGTCAGAGGCTACTCTCGTAGCTGGTGGCCACCTTCTGGCCCTTAAGCCCAGCACCCCAGCTTAGTCCTGGCGCTGGCGGGGGGGGTTCTACAGTGGACAAGAGGCGCCTTTCAGTGTGGTGTGCTGGGCCCTACCTCCCTGGGTATGCAGAGACGGGCCGGCCCACTGCGCCGGGGAGGGCCCTGCCCCCTGGGGGGGGCCACGTCAGAGGGGCCACACCCCTGCTCACCAGCCCGCAGGGCGGCCCGAGCTGAGCCCCCGCTCACCTGACAAGTGCTGGGCAGAGGGCTGGTCGTGTGTGCTCAGTAACTGGGTCTGAATGGTCTCCACGACCCTCTTGAAGCGGCGGCTGGGGCCTGGGGGAAACGGGGCGTCACCGCCAGGACAGGGCTGGTGCCCGGAGCCCGCGCCCTGGCCCGCGGCTCACCTGACAGGAGCGTGAACGTGACGGAGTAGATGCCATTCTCCTTGTGCGCCGCCCCGCCCTCCGTGTAGGTGATGTCCACTTGGAATTTGACCGGCTTCTGGAACACCGCCGGGCCCCCCGTCGCCTTATACTCCGCCCGAAAGCTCGTCTGGGAGATGACGCTGTGGCTGAGGCTGGGGATCTGCGGGCGGGAGGGCGGTGTGGGTGTGCGGGGGTGCGGGCGGCGTGGGTGTGCGGGGGTGCGGGCGGGAGGGCGGCGTGGGTGTGCAGGGGTGCGGGCGGGAGGGCGGTGTGGGGGTGTGGGGGTGCGGGGGTGTGGGGGTGCGGGCGGCGTGGGTGTGCGGGGGTGCGGGCGGGAGGGCGG